GAGAAAACTTCAAAACGTGAAGAAATGCAAAAATTTTCAATTTTGATTTTTGGAGGATTACAAAAACTTACCCTAAGGGAAGTTAAAAAAAAACTGATTTTTTTGGTTGTACCAGTAAATTTATAATGATCTAAAGATCGTTTTTCTCCTTATCCAGTAATGTTTTCTCTGCTAAAGTGATACTATCCGAAAATACTAGTAGTTATATCAAAATACTCTCCTTTTTGTAACTATATCTCTTTAAGTATTTTTAAAATAACTTTTATTAAAATACTTTTCATAGTAGTACTGCTTTATAGTAGTACTCTTTACTTGATCAAAAAATAAAAAAGAGTTTCAGGGTTGCTTCCCTTTTTTGAAAACCGCCGTTGATAATTATAGCTTTCCTTGATCAAAAAATATAAAGATTTCTTCTATAAAGATGATTATAGCTTTCATTTCTTTCACATGGTACAAACATTAGTAAAAATTTATTCTATGTGACTATTTTTTATTATAATAAATTATAAAATTATTAACTAATATTGATGTCGAAACGATTTTTTTAAGTCATTTTGGATTCATATCACAATTTGTTTAATTTTTTTTTATTTTATTTAGCCTCTTATTTACAAACTAGCCATATACAGAGTTTCCTACATTTAAATTCTAATTTTACAACACAATTTGTTTAATATCAGTAACTGAAATGCCCCAAATAAAGGTGCCAAAAGAATTTTACGACTTACTATTAATTTTATCGAATTAATCACGTTATTAAACTGTCAATATCAGAGTTTTATTGCTCACTAAATGACGTTTTAAATCAATAAAGTCATAAATATTTATTCTACGTATTCACGAATGCAACAATGATGCCAGTCGTATAATAACGTTATGCAAATACGATAAAGTGTAAAACTAAAATATTTGTTTGTACAAACCACGACCTTCGACACTAATTTTCTTAGAATTTTGATCTTTGGAGTTTCTTTATAATCCAAATAGTAGATCTCTTGATGACATTAAATTTGAAACACAATATTAACAGTTTCTTGAAATACGAGGTCTGTTCAAAAAGTTTTCGTAATTTTCGTTTTTTCAAAAAAATATTTATTTATTCGTCTACATTAATGTGTGGTCCCCTTCAAAGTAGTCCCCCCCAGATATAATACACTTACGCCAGCGTTTTTTCCAATTTTCGAAGCACCCTTGATATTCACTTTTTGATATGTCCTTGAGCACTCTCGGCGATTTTCTTCAATCGAGGAAAACCGCCGTCCTTTCATGGGTCTCTTCAACTTTGGGAATAGGAAAAAGTCACACGGAGCCATATCTGGTGAATTTTTGCACTTTGCAACACTTTATTTCATTTTTTACGCAAAATTTAATACAAATTCTTTGACTTTTTCAATTCTTCCATTGTAAAAATCGCCGAGCTCAGAAAAAACACGTCGAACCTTAGCGACTACCACAGACAAAGTAAACAGATATAGCTGAAAATTTCATCATACTTTAGGGGCATGTATAACAACACAATAAAAAAAAGTTTGACAATCAGACACTCCAGACCCGCGAAATTTAATTATTAGTAATTCCGGGTACTTTTTGAACAGACCATGTATATTTTGACAAAATTGTTCAACGTTTTAAATCGTTCCATATTCATCTTTAATGTTTGTTAAATATTATTTATATAAGGAGTTAACACAAGAGTGCGATTTTAAACGAAGACCAAACAGGTCTTCAATACCAGATAATGGCCATCTTACTCTTGACATTGAATACAAATATATAACATGGATTTAAGTAAAATGAGATAAATTTTATTCCTATTATATCAAATATTATTGCTATAAAGTTTAATTACTTACGTAATATAAAAATTTAAGATTCAGAATTTATTTGAAAATTGCTCTTGTATAAGTGTTAATGGGGGTGGCCTAAAATTAACGAATGCTGGTTTAATTTTTAGCTTCTTTGACGATCAAATTGCCAAAATAGGTATAAAAATGTAGAGAAAGTTGGAAACAGTAAAACATATTATCAGCCAATTTTTCTTTATTTGTATTAAATACGTTATGATATTAGAGCAATGAAACTTACTATGAAACGTTACATTGCATTTACTATGTTTGATATATTCGAATTTATTTTTTGTTTTCTGATTTTGTTTTTCTTATTCATTTTTATAGATAGTATCATGCCTAACATTATGTAATATAAGTTGTTAGTAACGTTTCATCAGTCGACCACTTTGCCCATAAAACTAGTTTTTTTTATTAACCATTCATTTCTATTAACTTCAAAAGAATTGTCTATTGCGATTTTTCATTTGCCAAAACTTGTAATTCAAAACTCATTTCCAAGTACAAATACTCACATTTAAAATAATTCGTAAACATGTACTCTCTATAGATACGAATGTATTTAAATTAGATCAAGTATTCATTTATTTTTCTAAAGATTGTTATACTATTTATTCCTACATATTCCATATACGCAAAATAATTAAAAAATACGAAAATAAATTTTAAGCAATTTAGTCTTAAATCGATCTTATTAGAAAGTAATCTTTTAGTGCTATAGAGTCGCCAACTATGGTCGACTTAATTTGCGAAATTTTTGCTAAAGCTACTATATATATATATATTTAAAAAAAAGTCAATATATAAAATATCGCCGTTAAATATGTATAAAAATTATGTAATAATATTTGCTCAAAAACAAAACTCTTCATCCTAATAATTTGTTTAAATGCGTCATCAATTAAATAACAGTTGGTATCGATTAAAATTTATATATAAATTACTTCAAGCGCACAATATAGCAAATTTGATAATAATGTTATAAATATATGATATCAACTGTTGTTCCAAATAATACTCAGATTGTGATTGATTTTGACCAGACGCCAAAACAGGCTGTCGATAGTTTTTACTAAGCAAATGGTTTTCATGCTTTAGTAGTTGTTTACAATTTTTGTATCCACGAGTAATTAAATGTGGGACATATATTTTCTAATATAAACATTTGATACTAATATTAAGTCAGCTTCTTTGGAGATTTTCCAAAACATTTAATCTATTCGAATTCCAACGAATATCTTTATATTATTGCTCTCGAGTTCTATTTGATGTTACTTCTTGATGTTTATTGGAACTTTATATTTATCTGTTTGTTGATTTTTTATTTTGATCGATGGCTTTTGATGATAAATAATAACGATACTATCAAATTTTGAAGGAATGTTTCGTGTAATTTAAAATCTATTTTTTATTAATAATGTGCCAAATAGTTTTCATGAATGAAAAAAAAAATACCTGCATAACATTTTGCATTTAGTTTTGCAAATTTTATTTTTGGAGGCGTCCATTTTAGGGCGAGGGAGGGTTTGCCAAAAAATCACGAAATATCACGTGGGGGAGGGAGGGGTGTAGTAAGATATCACGTGTATTTATTTTTTAACTGATTTAAAAAAAATCAAACATTTTCAAGAAAAAAAATCAAAAATTTAACAGTCTTATCACGTAACTAAAAATACACTTGATGTTTGGTGGCCATATATCGCCATGTATCACCAAGGGAAAGGGGGGGTCTAAAATCCTTAAAAACTCGCTCATGTGATTAATGGACGCCCCCTTTCAAGAATTTATACAAAATGTTAGACTAATACTTGCTTTCTTACATTTATTCTAATTAAAATTATAATTAAATTATTTTAAAACTGATAACTACGTTCAGAGTCTATCGTATGTTATTTTTAGGAACACAGGTGCAAAATAAATCATTAAAGATTTTAATAAAACTTAATTCTGGTGTTTATTAGTTCACATCACAATTTGCTTCTTATAGTACAAAAAAGATTGCATAATTTCAAGATTAAATAATAAAATGATATATCTTTAATGTATGCATCAGAATCTTATCAAAATTCCTAATTTTAATTACTCTAAAAATTACTGGCGCTTTATATTATATATTTTAGTATTCGATCTCTCGAAAACAGTTTTGTTTCAATATTCAATATTGCAAAAATAGATATTTTATTACTCGAACAAGAAATCACAGTTCAAACAAATTCTTGAAAATAGACATAAAACTATATATATATATAGAATAGTTATTATTGAGTTATGTCTATTTTAATAGTTCAGAATTAATATTAAAAACATAGCTGGAATTATAAACTTTTGTATATCTATATTGTAAATTAATATCTTTAATTATTAATTTAATTTAAAGCATTTTTATAGTGACAATTTTTACTTGGGTATAAACAATATTTTCTTCTATATCCACTATTGATTTATGTATTTAATATTTTTAATAACTATATATTCATATATGAATATTTTTAGTTTCGAAATTCAAAATATTTTATCTTTAGTATAGATTAGCGATCGGAGAACTTCTTTATTCATTACCCCAACATATTTTTATCTAAGTTGATATTACACACCATGGCGCAGAGAGATGATCCTTATACGGACATCTACGTAGCAAAAACAGTGAATATCAATTAAATAGACATACATTTTACCTCCAAAAATTAAAAAAAAAAACACTGCACGAAATTAATTCATTAATTTACTTTACATTGCTTCTAATGCACATAGTTTTACAATTTTACTTAGTTCAAATTATTTGTAGAATTATTGATTCTCAACAGAGACATCGACGTGTTCTTTCATTTATTATATTCAACTCTTACCATTTCACTGGTTTTCCTCTATTGGTTACATAACAATAAAATCAGTTCAATTTTTCGCTTATAAAAATTTATTCTCTGTTCTAGCTGGGAGACGCACTGCCCACGAATTTGGCAAGTTTGTCCATAATGTCACCGGGTGGAATACAAATGAATCCCGAGAACAGCAGCCTGCCGGCCACGCCCTCACAAAAGGATGGAGTCCGTCTCTGGCGCCATCACCACAGAGGCGTACAGTATTCAGCCTTTGACAGTTGAACATCACGAACGAGCACTGGAACACACCTCAGGAATATACTCTTCAGGACGAACCGCTCAATTTAACATGGGCCTGCTTTCCAAAGAAGATGACCGGTAAGTAAAGTCATAACTGTCGTTATTATTGGGGTGATTATTATATTTTTCATACATATCTGCCCAGTGGTGGCGTAATCAGTTCGGACGTGGGATAGCACAAACTAGTCCCGGATTCGCTGGTTCGATCCCAGCCATGGCCAATTCCAACATCAAGCAGTTCTGATGTCGAATTTTCACTTTCTACAAATAAATTAAGCAAAGATAAATTGGCGGAATTTTTTGATAGTAGATTTGAACTAGCGTAGAAGTTCTGGAGTAGTATTCTGGAGATATTTGGCAAAATTTTTTGATAGTAGATTGGATCAAGCGTAGAATTTCTGGAGCACTATCAATTTATCTATGCCATATATGCTCCATATATTATTGCTATGTATTTCTTCCATTTATTACCAGAAGGATTACCAAAAAATGGTTTATTATTATTACCACCCAAGCCATTTTCATATGAAAATAATATTATCATTATACCTTTATAGCTTTTGATTGATTAAACAAGTCAATTTAAGTAATCTAATTATCAAAATTACTCTCCTATTAATATGATCGATTTCATTAATATTTAAATTATTTACCAAGAATTTGAAAACACAATGCGAGGGAAATAGTATAAGAGAAGCGGTTGCTCTATATTTTAATATTTGTTAATAAATATGATGAAACTGTGCGAGTTTATATTTAATTGCAGCAATAACTGGTTTTAATGAATTTTGATGTAAACGACTCAAATATCACTTGCAATATATATTTTCATCATTCATTTATTTTTAACAAGCGGATGTTAATTGATGTAAAAAGATGTAAGTGACAACTTGCATGAACCGAAATTGAAATTTACCCTTTTAAATAAAGGGTTTCTTTCTAAAAACTAATCTATGCAATTTTCAATTGATATCTCTCAAACACATTTATAATATTTGTAATTATATTAATTATAGTGCACAAATACGCGCTTGTATGTCCTAAAAACGCAGCCCATGATTCAAAATTTTGTTGAATTTATTTATTTACTAGCACTACTATCATCAAATTTTACGTTAGTTCTTAGTTTACTTTCGAATTTTTCCTCAGTTATTCTTATTAGTCTCTTATTAGAATCATCTTATACTCTGGATTGAATTCTCATTGGATTCCAGGTGGATGCTTATTAGGTTTGCACAACATTCTTACTAGATTCTCTTAAAATTAAAGGTAGAATCTTTTTACAAATTTATTTATTTATACATTATTTCAAAACTTATTATTATTTATTAATTGATCCATAATAATCAATACATAATCTGATTAACAAAAATTTACATGGGGTCACATCACCTCAGATTCAGATTAGTTTGAAACTTCGAGAAATCATGAAATTATCAGATCAGATTTTCCCGCAAAAACATAAACTTCTTCTTCTTCGGAATTAAATGAGACGAAATGACATTTTCAAAATTGATCGTATTAAATATATCAACTACAGTTTGCGTTTGATTTAAAAATTTACATCAAATTTTTAAACCAAGGTATTACTGAAATTTCAAGAGAATTTATATATCTTCTTATAACACAAATTTCATAATTCAACAAATTCATTTCGTTTATTCAAATATCAATAAAAAATTAATCGTAGTATATTTTAAAATAGATGTCCTTGAATTTATTTCACTAATACCTAATCAATAGTCCCTAATAGTTTGTTTAAATTTTATATATGACACTTTTTAGACACCTTTATTATTTCCGCATATTTTGAATAATGATGGCTCAATCTCGAGTGAAATAAAAAACATGTTTTCTGAGGTTCATGGTCTAAATGGCAGTGAAATAAAACGAAGTCGAAATGAACTTTCAAGAAACGTTTGAAGATATTATTTATTCGCATTGAAATGTTCGACATAAAAGTATTATCAATATTATTAATCATCGCAATAGCAAATCCGCGACTTTTTATTGACTTCAGAAGTGATTGATTGAGTGGTTACTATTATTGTACAAACGATAAGATTTAATTATGTGGTAAATAATCATAAACTTCATTATAGTCTAAACTATTCTATGATTTTTATATGAAATTAACGTATTCACCTTTCTTTGTCATAATGCTCGGATTGCTTGGACATTATTATAAGGCTATTAATGAGTATAATTGAAACTTTTGATTTATTTGTGGTTTTAAACTCGTAGTGATAAAGATAACGCGCTATGCACATTATTTTAAATACCATTAAAGCGTGTTCTTTCAACTCAAAATTTTAAATAAGCTTTATAAAGATTTTTTTATCAATGGTATTAATATTTGAAGCCTGATTAATTTTTATATATCTTATAACAACGAATACAGTATATATTACCAATAATTTGAAATAGATTTTTCATGTTTTTATCAAAATGAACGACTACAAAATTCAAAACAAGCTTCCAAAAAATCTAAGATTATTTTACTTTGGTATTGTATTTATTAACCGAGTTTAGGTGGTGAGAGCAGAACTTCGAATCAGAGGTTCCCAGTTCGGCATCTACCTCGGAAATCTTGGCGTCAAGCAGCAGTGACGTTTTTTCTTGAAAATATAGATAGCAATATGTTTCCAAGAAACACGTAGAGACAGGGTAGGTTGCCATCTATAAATCCACGTTACTTAAGATTGCTGTTAATAGCAAAAAAATATTCTACGACATTAACATAAAATGGACGTTTTTTTTTTCACTTTTCTGCGATTTACAAAGAAACGGCTAGGGCGCAAAATTGAAAACCACTAGTCCTCGTAGAGATACATTGAACTTTGAAATCAGTCCGGCCGTTTTTGAGAAAACGTCGATCTACGGCAAAAAATCTTCACATACACATACACACACATACATTTTCCAAATTTGGTCTCATTCGATTCAGAATAGCTTTGAACGTCGAGAAAACATAAAATCAGCATTAATAGAAACATTAAAATTAATTTATATTTAAATTATGGATACAGGATTAAATTTAGTAGTTACATAAAATAAATTATCTTAATTGAAATAATTACAGTAAAATACTACTCTAAAACAATATTAAGCGTAACTTTAGTATTATCAAATACAATAACTTGAAAAAAAATGTTATAATATTGAGATAGTTTATTTAAGGCTAGTAAATCTTGAGATTCTTTTGATGGTAAAAAAATTCTTTCAACATTCGTTATGCAATTTTGGGTCCCATATCTGGAAAATAATAATTAAGGGCAGTATCAAAAAAAAGAATATAATATGAAAATAATATGGAATAAAAATTAGAAAGAGTATGGAAAAAGGAAAAAATAATAGTAACTGTTGGAAAAAAGTATCAAACATTATCAGTAGGCATTTCATTGTTAAACTAATGTTTCATATCGAAATTGGCAAACTCAGAAGTATCATAGAAACTTTGGTATCGAAATGAATTGCATTTCGAATAATTTAAATTTCTCTGAATTTCTCATTAATCACTTCATTATGCATAAATATCTAGTTTCATAGTTTCTAGACTGATAATGAGTCTAAATCTGGTGTGGGCGATTTCGCCTTGCACTTGACAATCGATTTGCCAATCATCTGTTCGTCACGGCAGCAGTAGTTTTATTATTTCATATTTACAAAACTAGTTTTCCGTAAACTGCACCAAGCAAGACGGTCGTAGAATTCATGCCGGCTGCATAATGAGGGTGACCTAGAACTTCAGATCGCAGATTTATTGAAATGATCACTCATTTCATAATATTATCGACATCAGCCACTGCGTGCTCGATTTCAAGGTTCTCTTGCAGACATCGCTTGCATTATGTTTTATTCTGCAAGCGTTTAATTCATACGGTTAATTATATGTATGAACTTGCATTGCAATCGTTAAATACTAATTATTATTCATATTTCGAGCTAAACTGGTATTTATAAACGTCTTTGCGTAATAGATAATCAATTATCAGCTGTTCGAATAATGAATAATTGCTGAATATTATTTTTATGATTGCTAATTTGCACCTTTGTTTCAATACTATTTTTATTCTTGTTTATTTGCATTAATTTCCAGAAATTTCGTGATAAATATTTAGTAGATATTTTTAACGATACTATTTTAAGCAATTTTTTGAAATCGGCTGACTTTACTATTACCAGAGAAACGGTTACATCTTTTTTTTATTAACTCTTTGGGGACGGCTGTCCACCTGAGTGGACAAACATACTCTGTGAGGCACAGGGTATTTTATAAACAATGACTCAGTTTGCATCGAAAAGTTGAATAAATTACATATAGCAGTAATAAACAGTGTTGTATTTTGAAAATAATTTTAAGTTATTTTAGTAGGATATTTAGCCTTTTTCTTTGCTATATAGTCTTTTTTTTATATTTAAAACGACCGAGCGCTTTTAAATATGGCAAAACGACTAGTAAATTTTGTAAATTAAGCAGTAGTGAAAATGAGTTTCAAATAGACATTCGTACAGACAAATTTTACGAAATTACTATTCGCACCGAAGATAGTGATGAATGTGATAATGATATTATCCAACCAACAAAAAGAAGAAGAAGTTCGACAAATTAAATGAAGAGCGGAAAGACAGCGTTTTTTATTTTGTTTCTACGTAGCTAACGAATCGCGATTGCTTTGAAAAAAAGTTCAGAATTTTCAAAATATTTCAAAGTGTAAAAAAAAAATCAAATTTTTCACAAAGGTAAATTCTTTTCAAAAATTTTAAAAATCTCAAAAATCGATTTTTTTTTAGAGTTTCAAAAGAAAATTGAATCTTTTTTAAAAATTTTAGTTTTTGATACGGGAAGTTCCAACAATTTGCTTTAAAGCACGATGCCATGCACCACTAGTTTCTCTTATCAATAAAAATTAGAAAATTTATTACATTCTATGAGTTATTTGGATTTACATCAGTTAAATATAACTATTGATAGTAGTTACCCCAGTAATAGTTCATAATGTTTTAAGTCACTAAATTCTGATTGAAGGAGCAGCGAAGCCCGAGTGAATTGGGGTGAATTTCTATTTGTGATGTGGATTAGTGAATCTTGTTTCTAAAAAGTCTTCAATATATAGCACATTCAGATCCTTATGCAGAGTTCTAGGGGTCACGTACCAGGGTGCACCTGTCATCCTTCTGACAATAAGTAGTTTTGTTTGGGCCCGCTGTATCAATGCAACATTAGATTTGAGGAACAGCTCCAAAGCTCTATACCGTATGACCAGATAGGAATTATTATAGTTTTATAAATCAAGATCTTGTTTTCGAGTGCTAATTATGTCTCATAATGTTACCTAATTTTGGATTTTATAGGTTTGATTTTCGTTGTAATGTGGTTTTTATATGTTAGTTAATTTTTTTAACGAAAGTTATAATTATAGTTACATATGTCATTTATTTTATTGTTTCAAAAAATTGTTAAGGATGTAAATGTGATCATCTATCGTTATCTTTTCCTTGAACTCTTGAATTAACAATAACTTGTAAATCGTTCCTCAAGGTTGACGGGATACCGATTCATGCGAGAGGAATTGACAGTAAGAGTAATCATTGCTTTTTTGTATATCCAATCCATTAGCTAAGCCAATAATCTTCACTGTGTTAAATAAATAATTTAAAGTAAATTACTTGATTTTGACTATCAAAATTGGTCAATTTTATTAATATAATTAATTGGTCTATACTCTATTCATAACACTTTAATTTATTCTTATTCTTCAATTATTTTTTGCTTGTGATAAACTATCAATAACAATTTAAATAAATTTACAATGCATTGAAAATTTCTAAACGCTCTTGTTAATTCTTTCAACTAAGCTAATGCGTATTAATTAATAGGAAAATGCAGTGACAAAACACATTAATCTTAATAACAATTAAGTTTTCATAAAAGTAATTTATGAGTGTTGCTTTGTTGAATGATTAATAGCATTTTAATTTGACTTTATCATTAAGCACATACAAGTTGTACTTTCTTGTAATATTTAACTTTTTATATATTTTGTAATGCAAAATTTAATATGGTTGGTGTTAGTTTTGGTAATAATTTTATTTCTTGGTAATTGTTTTGAATTAAGAGTAAAACTTTCAAAAATTTATTTTTAATATAAGGATGAAGTACTTTATCAAAGAAAATTACAAATTTCATTTGTGACTTCATTTACTGCATCATAGTCCAAGTTTCAAGGTTGGTCATCATTATAAAATGTCAAATTAAGGCGCAGCATATTTTAAACGGTTTTGAAAAGCACCAGACTTTTTAAGTAATAATATATATATATATATATATATATATACGAGGTCTGTTCAAAAAGTTTTCGTAATTTTCGTTTTTTTCAAAAAAATATTTATTTATTCGTCTACATTAATGTGGTCCCCTTCAAAGTAGTCCCCCCCCCCAGATATAATACACTTATGCCAGCGTTTTTTCCAATTTTCGAAGCACCCTTGATATTCACTTTTTGATATGTCCTTGAGCACTCTCGGCGATTTTCTTCAATCGAGGAAAACCGCCGTCCTTTCATGGGTCTCTTCAACTTTGGGAATAGGAAAAAGTCACACGGAGCCATATCTGGTGAATTTTTGCACTTTGCAACACTTTATTTCATTTTTTACGCAAAATTTAATACAAATTCTTTGACTTTTTCAATTCTTCCATTGTAAAAATCGCCGAGCTCAGAAAAACACGTCGAACCTTAGCGACTACCACAGACAAAGTAAACAGTGAATATAGCTGAAAATTTCATCATACTTTAGGGGCATGTATACCAACACAATAAAAAAAAATTTTTGACAATCAGACACTCCAGACCCGCGAAATTTAATTATTAGTAATTCCGGGTACTTTTTGAACAGACCATGTATATATATATATATATATATATATACATATATATATATTTGATACATAAATAAAAAAGAGAAAAGATTAGTTGTTTAGTTCGAGAAAAAAATAGTTATAATTTTTGCTTCCAAATTCTCATTTAAAGCTTCTCATACGGGGTCCAGCAGACCCCAGCGGTATTGAAACACTCGCCGTTGGCAGACTATTGGCCTGATTATAAAAAACGAAAATAAATTTTGAACTATCTACAATGCCACAGCATAAGTTTTTGAAAGTAGAAGACATTGAAAAGTCTGAAAATTGCTCGTAAATGAGCGACCTCGTGAAAGGTGCCGTTGAGGTCCAGTAGACCCCAGGTTAACCCCAGATGTAAGAGAATAATAGCTGATGATAATCATATGTTTTAAAGTCTGACAGTGTATTTTAAAAACGATGCCTATTAAAAAATGAAGAATTTAGTAAGAAGCTTATCTTACATTTTAATTTTGTACTCTTCTAAGAAGTAAATGAGTTGGCATTTTAAGTTATTGAATCACTAATTTGTATTATCAAAATAATATTTTTGCAATTGCCAAAATTATTCCTGGTGAACAACACGTGAGACCGGTGGCCATTTGATCTCCAGTATTCTTTTATTTTTGGCATAGTCCGCTATAAATCAAATTTTTGAATTCAGAGTCGTGCTAGTTTTATATTTTTTATTTTTTTTATTATTTCAGATGTATAGAACTCGAAGAATATGCATTGACATCTATGAAAAAAGGAGTTTCTTTAATGGCTGTGAGTGAACGCGGTGAGCTCGTCGGTGTTGTCATAAACTGTGTTACTGAAAGAGAAGTAAGCAAAATTATTAAATTTATTATTACACATAAATATTTTAGTTCAAATACAAAGGTTTAATTTTTATTTTCCTAAGTTGCTATTACTCATATTACTGAAAGCAATCGGAGTTAGCAACAACCTGTAATCGTGCGATTACAGAGATGATAAAAAGCAATGAACAAACATTAATCATTTCTAAGAATTATTCTTATTTGATAAAAATTAAAATCTATGATAAGAAAGGCATGTCAAAATGTCAATTGAATGCAATTTATTAAGTAATCCGATTGATTCGAATAAAACAACTTTCATATCCTGAAATCAGAATTTATTATTTCATAGAATGGAGATTATAATATACAATGCAATTGCGAAATGAAATATCTGGAAATGAATAAATTATATGTATATATTCATTTTTTTGTTTAATTATACCTGAGATTATACCATAACACTATAATTGTTGCCATGCGATCAAAGTTTATAAAATTGTATGATATAAGAATAATTAATCTTGTCATGGAAGTAAAACCGTGAATGTCAACCGCAATATGATTTCAAAGTTAATTTTGAAGATCAATTGTGATGAACTGCATTTAGACTACTTTGACTCATCTTACTTTTGTAAAAAAAAATTATTAATTATAATTTTCTTCTATTATATAAAATGATTTTTTTAATCTAGGATGCAGCTACGATATCGGATCCATCCAAGGACTGCGCAAATCCAAAATTCGCCAAGATTCTTGCCCTCCTGCACCATGTGAGCCAAGAAGCCAATGTTTTTGGCCAATTTCCTGATGTGCAACGTGTTTTGAACATATCAATACTGTCGGTCGATAGCAATTGGCGAGGCAGAGGAATTGCCAGGGCGCTGACTGATGCCACGGCGTGAGTCGAATTTAAAATTATCAATCAATGTTTAATATTATAAATAACTTAAATAAAACATCGGTGTTAGCTATAACTCTATGTTTTCACATCAATAATTTCACATGAAAATTATTCTTCCACCCCAAAATGTCGGGTAAAGCTACCCTTACCAGATTTTGGTATTTTTTATAAAAGCTCATCGTAAGATAGCGAAATAATTATTTTCAATCAAAATAATCACTGTAATACTAAAAGATATGAAATTTGATATGTTTTTCTAATTTTATTCAGACCGAATGATTTCTCTATATCAATTATAAAATTACTTACAAAAATTTATTGTTAAATGTTAAAAATTTGTGCCCTTCATTGGAATGAGTGTTTTTGCTAACAGTCCTGAAAATGGAACAGCCTATTCTGTAAACGAACGTTTAAAAAAAAAAAATTCAAAAAACATAATGAATTATTATGTGTTTTTGTGTTTTAAATGAATTATTCTTTGAAATTATTTTTAAAGTAATGATTATTGATTTAGTTTTGAGATATTTTAAATTCCCGTTGGGTAAGTTATTGTAATTGTCCAAAAATTTTTCATTTTTTCGCGTTTAGAAGGTTTTTGAACATGTTGGGATACCTCAGAAAAAATGGATGTGTGTGTATGCGTGTGTGTATGTGTGTGTGGATACAATTATTCTTCCATGTTTTTAGGTGCATGGAACAACCGATTTGAATGATTCGAAAAACATTTGATTGTTATTGATACGGAGATGTGCTGATTAGTTTTTGGCAAAGGCAGATCCACCCTTTTTGGAGATACCAGGCTAAATGTGCAAAAAATAGAAGTTTTTGAGAAAACTAAGCATCTAATTTGAATGATTCAAAAAACTTTCTGCTTGTTTTGACAAAATAATTGCTTTTGGAAAAAAATTACTTCAATTTTTTTTGTGTATCGAAAATAATTCAGATTTTAATTTTAATTCTGGCTAAAGTTCTAAAGCTTACTTATTTATTTTAAATAAATAATTTATACTTTGTAATTCAGTATTTATATAACGATTATAAATATTAGACAATGTTACAGTATTTATAATAATCTATGTGAAAACATTTAATATTTCGGGAAGTTACGGTACGGGAAGTTCCAGCAGTTTGCCTTAAGGCACGATGCCATACACAACTGGTTTTATTAAAAATTAATATAGTTTTGAATAATATTGCTTTAATATACAAAATCGTATATTCAATTTTGGGTACTAATAAACAAGTAAGCTATTTTTAGAGATATGAAATTACACATATAAAAATCGATAGGATTGATTTCGATTTTTCGATTAACTCGAAAGTTACGGTTTAATTTGGTTGCATTTTTTTATATATGTGTAGAGAGGGACACAAAGGTCTAATTTGACATTTAGTTTGTAATTATACTCTGATTCTATCGGCGGATTAATAAGTGCCCAGGGTAAAAAGGCCCACTATTAGTAATAGGTACTCAGAGTAAAAAAGGCCCACTAATATGTATTTAATTGTTTACAGTTTATTCATGTTTTTTTATTAAAATGTTTCTAATTATAATTTATCTTTTATTCCAGCGAATATGCTAAAGATCACGCCGTTGAAATGTTGCGAGTGGATTGTACGAGCCATTTCACGGCCCTTATCTCAGAAAGGCTCGGTTTCCATTCCATCTACAGTTTGCCATATGCACAGTACATCAAAGACGGAAAACCCGTATTCAACCCACCGCCCCCACATTTGGAAATCAAAGTCTTTGTTCATCGAGTCGATGAAGAGTAATTATTGTTGCCATTATCATTAATATGATATAATCATAAATATTAACTTGACTGTTACGTGTTTCATCATCGAAGCTAACATAATCTCATTCTTTAAAAAAATATTTTATAACGTTAATTTGATATTAACTGGGATTATTTGGTATGTCACGATAATTTATAGGCCTAAGAAAATACATTGGGATTCGATTGCTTGATTCTTATATAGAATTATATGAAAAAATCTAACAAAATAATCTGATTATAGAATTTACATGGATTGACATTTATTTTAAATATTAATTTATTTGCTGAAATTTTTTGGTGTGTGACAATAATTTATTGGCCTAAAAGAAATGCATTGGGAGTCGATTGCATGATGCTTATATGGAATAATATAGCCAAAAATGGTTTGAATAGCCAAAATGGTTTGAATATAGAATTTACATGGATTGACATTTTTTTAAATACTAATCTTTGCTGATATTTTTTGGTATGTCACATAATTTATTGGCCTAAAAGAAATGCATTGGGAATCAATTGCATGATATATATATGGAAGAGGCTAGCCAAAATGATCTGAATTTCTACGTGAATTAACATTTATTTTAAATATTAATTTGTTTGCTGATATTATTTGGTATGTCACAATATTTGGCCTAAAAGAAATGCATTGGGAATGGGGAGGGCTTGGAATCGAATGCTTATAGGGAGCTTATAAGGAAGAATCTGACTAAAATGATCTGATTGTAGAGTTTACATGTTTTTTTAATTAATAATATTTTATTTATCATAATTTAATTAATAATCTTTATCATGGTTCCACATGAATAATTTACGTGGCTTTTCTTTAGCAGTTAAGTGCATCAACGTATAATATAATTGGTCATATTTTTTTTATTAACTTGAACAAGAAAAATATTACATTTAAAATAATACACCTAATTTTTTTATTTATACTAATTGTAATTGTTTAATGTATTGCGATCATACATCAGGTTTCAAGAAATTTCTGAGAAAACTGCGCTAAACTAAATTATCAATTTATTTAACAGTATCTTTCTTTGAAAGTTAGATTTTTGTTGAGGTGTTAAGAATTAAATAATCACATAAATGGTGCATAAGTGATATTGTTGTCAGATTTACCCGGTATTCTAGATAATAATTTAAATATGCACATATTTATGTTAATATTTATAAAATAGTATCTCAAACTAATTTTACTCAAAATACTCGATTACCAAAATTGTCTTTGAAATTCGATATATTGAGAAACTACTTTTATGATTGTGCATGTATGTTGATTTTTAATGCATTTAATGCGTGTTTCTGCAGTAATGGCTAAATATAAATATTATTGTAGTATAACCTACAATAATTGTTCGATTAGCATTTAAATAGAATGCACTTGTTTCTAATTAGCAGTAAAATGATATACCGATATTATGATGTCGCATGCGTTGTTAACTCCAATCAATCCTACTTAAATTAAATATTAAGTTTTGTGTTTTATACATTTCTTGTGAGACAGGTTATTTTATTTGCACAAATTTAATTTATAAAAATTTGTATGTATTGACTATAATTTTTAATTTATTATTTTCTTCACACAGCAAACGCAAAACCAAACTGAACATTTTGTACCACTAAGGCAAAATATCTGTGAACTGTGGACTAACATAAGAGACATTTTATTTCATGTAGGTTTGCTTATAATTTAATTTCATATTACATAAAAACCAACGACGATGCAAAAATTTAGAGCATATTATTAACGCAAATATAATCTCTCTACATCACATTATTTGATAAATTAGGATACCAAGTGCTTTTTTTCTCTTTATTTTATTTTAACAGAAGACTCTTTTGTTAGAACTCAGTAGCATAATGTATATTAAATATCATACCAACTTCAATTTCAATAAATTTTACTCTTAACCAGCGATTAATGCAATTTAGATGTTAAAGGGCTGATGAAAATATATGCTATATTATTTATTATTGTTTTTTATGCTAAATTGGCCATTGGCCAACGTGGGGCCAATGTTTTGAAATCAACGTTTAGCTATAAAATATTAATATTATCGATGCAAAATAGTAAAAAAGGCTCACTGTTGAAAATTGGTATGAGCAATTGTTAGGAAAATAATATCTTATGTAAATTTATTAATTAGTCTTAATCGAGACTCATATTCTTTAAACAATTTTGTATCTCATCGTCGGACTCTTTATTAAACTTGAAAATTGATTTTTTTAGATTTTTTTATAAATAAATAATTAAATATATTTTCTCTGTTAATTAATATCAAATCTTAGATTAAAGTATGTTCAAAATTATCTCTGTTAAAACATTACTTTAAATTTTTGCTTTGTCTAGGTATACATTTTTATTTTTTATTATTTGTAACTAACTTCTATTTGTTTTGTAATATGATTTTTTATATTTTTTTTAATTTATTTGTTTTTAATTTTTTAGGAAATGATTAAGATCCTGTTATAGCTTTCTTTTTTGCGGAAAGCGAAGTTCCATAAAAAGTTGATCCTAAGTAACTTGAAATTTTCGTGACATCATAAATAACAGTTCAAGTTTTTAGCTTTAAGAAAGACATTTTGATTTGATTTTTTATACGAGCTCTATTTGGAAAAAATATGATAACAAATTCGGAAAAAGTGTTTTGCTATTGTTTTTTCAACATACTCTTCTACATTTTTCATCTTGTTAGTGTTTTGGTGTACGTGATGAGATATACATAGTATATCATACAAATTTATATTTAAAGTATATGTAATATTTATATATTGATAATATAATACTATGAAATGGATGGTGATAATTTTATATGTGAATATATTTGATTTGCCATAATCATTGGCAATTCAAAAACATATTTTCAAATTTATTATAAAATGTTATTATATAGGTTACTCAAAATTTAATTTTGCAAAAACATATTTTTGTATGAATACTTGTTGATCAATTTTTAAAGTGAATTTTAAATGATCTCAACACCAGATGGTTATCCTATTTGTGCCAAATTTTAACATTTTTGTCTCTAATATAAAATATTTTACATCATTCATTGTTATAACGTTGTACATATTATACATATATGTATAACAGAAATATTTTAATGTGATAACTGAATAAGCATATAAATATTATATGAAATGTTAGAAAATATAATCATATACTAAATGTTATATATTAAACTAAAATATATATGAAAATATTGCTAAAATTGTTATCAAGTTTTGTGACAATCCTAATTGTACGACCATGTTGATCATGTTTTTTTCAAAAAAATACATGATTTGTTTGATAGTCTTATTGATATTTTTTTTCTTAATTTTATTGTAATACTTTACATTTAAATAATCAAAAATTTACTATATTAATGGTATAATTTTACACTAGTTTAAAATTATACAATTGTATAAATGTTATTTAAATAAAATATTGAGAAATCCAAGAGAGAATCTCTTGGAACAATAGTCAAACTCTTAGAACAACTTTAGTAGCTGCAAAATCTTATTTTTTATTTATCATGTCGATTGTTTATACATATCAGTATGTTTCTACAACTTAGCTTAAGACAAAATGCAAATTATATCTGGTTTGATTTATTATTATGATTCAAATGTGTATTTTCTATATAAAACTTACAAGACATATTTGCAAATCAACGTCCTCGATAGGCTGAGCTTTAGTTACTTATTTATTTTTATAGACAAAATTATTATTTTATTATTTATATTTTTTATACAAACGCGAGTTCTATATGGTGAATGAATATATACAAAAGCATTTTTTGAATCCTTTGATTAATGATTTTCCACATCCTTCATTGTTATATTGTCTAGGATTGGTTTCTCCCATAGATAAACAAGTATAAATAGATAGCTATGTCGGGCGATTTGACGTTTCATCGATTGAAGTGCGGAGCTAAGATTATTGATGGCAGCACATGTTCATTTTGTAAATTAACCCCTGGTATTACTTCTACATTTGTACATATAATCATTACAGCCAAAAAATCTAAAAAAATTTTAATATTTGAAATAAGAACAAAACATACGAAATGCAAAATATATTTTCGAATATATCACAGACATATTTTGGAAGAAATATAAACTAAACAGAAATAACTGACTACTATTAATTAAAGTATATTACAAACATATTTTTAAAGTACTACAAACTAAAGAAAAGTAACTTATTAATATTAATTAACGATATTAATATTAATTACTTAATGACTAATAATAATATATTAAAAACTTAAAAACTAAGAAGTGAAAAGCGCAGGAGTATTGACGATGGAATTACAAATTTAGAAGGAATGGCAAGTAATGCAAAAATTTTAAAGAATAAAAAGAACAGCAAATTTCTAAAAAAAAAAACGAATACTTCCCAAACAAAATAAACCTCGAAACTAAATAGAGATAAAACTAAATTCCTAGGATTAAAATTCATTTACGAGATGTTCTTCTTTATTATCTCTCCATTTAATAGTTACTTTGCTATCTAATCAATCATTAATAAAGTTACATTTGACGAAATCTTTAAATAGTTTCTGTGTATGAGTGATTTTTAAAAATCACATTTACTCATTTTATGATCATGATGAATCCATTAACATTAAAACTTCCATAAAAGATAAAAAAAACTATAAAGCCAGGTGTTTTCAATAAACAGAATAAAAATGTATGCATTTGATACCCGTACTTTTTGTACAGTTTCAAAGCAAGAATTATGTCCTTACTTATTTTCTTTGCAAATGGTATTTAGAATTAAAATTACTTGGCCCTTTCTCTGGATTTGCACACTGTCGTGTTTTTTTTATTAGATTGTTTTGTTTACCCTCTATCAGAATTATTGCCTGATTCTACATCAGAATGCTCTCCTAGTCGTGACTGTGTGAGAGGAAAACCCTTTCATGATTCCCGTAAAGGAGATTTGTCTAATCCACACACTTCAATACAGCTCAAAGAAGCCTAAACAAGAAGCATATTATTATATAAATTATTACAAGAAAGACAGATACTTGATTTAAAGATACAACTACATTATTCAAAATAAAATATATAAGCAACTTGTATTTAGTTACCTGAAGTAAGATTACTCTCCTTCGACAATCTGCCACTGCCTCTACATCATTTTTATGAATTGACATTGATATACCAAGTTCTAAAATAATTATTATTAAAATACATTCATATAGTACAAATCCAGCATATTTAGGCTCCGGAGAACATGAACTTTAGGATGCTTTCTTGAATTGATTGAAAAGTGTTTGACTTCTGACATTTTCATCGTGTATTATTATTATACATTTTCATTATATAAATAAATATAACTCATCATACATACCTGGCCATCACTTAAGACGTGCAATTCAATATTCATTAGTTGAAACAACTTGGCACGTGACCATACTAAATTTATTTATTAAATATTCACTAGAACAGAAATATTTAGCAACAACATATAGGTTATTGGCACATTCGTACGACGGCTGTCAAATGCGCGAACGAGCGTTGTTGTAATTGAGCGAATGTAAGCCATCTATAATCTAAGCTTGGCAATACCCAATGTCTAAACACGGTAAAGCGTATTTGTTCAGAGATAACCCCCCATGTTTCTCCTTCTTTTGGTTGGTATCTTTAATACGGGCGTTCTCTGTTGACGGTTGGACAAACTTTCTGCACAACTTTGACAACTTCAAATTAGTTCAATTTATGTTGCATTTTTGTTTTTACTAGTTGAAAGAAACTTGAGAATGGAAGCTCACTGAGTATTTTTACTGCAATTTAACAAAATCACTTATCATATCATGGATTTAGTAAATATAAATCCAAAACGAAAGGTTTTGCAAGTGGTCGTAGCGAGTATTCTGAACGAATCGGGATTCGATGCAGTTGATAAAGATGCTTTGGATACTATAACAGAAATGTTACAATGCTGTAAGTTCTCTTAGAAACTTATATTTATGATGAAACATAAATTGATACTCAATATGAACATTATTAATTTACATGTTTACAAATACTAAATCGAACATTCAACAATTAACGAATTTCAAGTAATATAAATAACATGTTTATTCTCCATTTATTAAGTAGTTGATTATTGTGACAGAGGTGAGAGAGTTCAGGAAACATATATAGTATATTGAAGAAAGGGTTTTTATTCAAATCTATTGCATATTTTTTTGTTTTCTTAAATATTTTTAATTTTTTAGATACATGCACTCAATTCTAAATTAATCAATACAATTTTCGACAATGATTTATTCAAATATAATATTAACATAATTATAAATAGCATCTGTCTCAAAAGTTTTATCATTGATTATATACAATTGAAACAGTTTTAACTGAGTTGGGAAATACCACAAGAGCATTCTGTGAACATGCAGGCCGCACAGAGCCTGTTATAGGAGATGTCATAGTTGCTCTTTGTGATATGGGTATTAATTGGAAAGGAATAGAAGCATATTCAAGAAGGGATAATCGTCACATAGTTCCGTCTCCACAACATGTCACGGCACAAAAGCAAACAAATATTCTGCAAGCAGGTGTTAAGAGTGCACACCCTCCATATATACCTGTCCATTTGCCACCGCTGCCAGATCCTCATGCTTATATAAGGACACCTGTAAGCAAATAATTGGTTAAAAACTTTAGTTTTAATGTATATGTATTACTGAATTATTTTTTATCTCATTTTGAATATATTGCTTTTAGACACACAAACAACCTGTAACAGAGTATGAAGCCATCAGAGAAAAATCAGCGAATCAAAAGCGGGATATAGAAAAGGCTTTGACAAGGTTTTTGGCCAAAACAAGTGGCACACATTCCCTATTTGATAGTGATGACAATTCAATGTTTCCGTGTAAGTACTTTACTCATATTCGGTTTTATAATATTAGATTATTTCTCATTTTTACACTAAGAATTTTTATAAAAGTCATAAAATTATTTTTAGAAATTTTCTCCTTCAAAATGATTATTCTATAAACATTTAATTTTATTATTAATTACATAATTAATAATTTTGTTTATATTATATTTTTTATATCAAATTAAGCCATATTGAAATATTATGAACACCTTCAATGAATATATAGGAATTGGATGATAAAAGTAATGTAGTTTAATGTAAAGCCAATAACTAATATGTGGGGTCGAATCTGATTTATATTGCTGTTGCTTTATCATATCTTTGTCACAGTTGATGCTTCTCAACATAGATTTTTTAGATTGAAAAGCTCTATGATTCAATTGTCCTGATATATTATGATTGTGAAACACTAATCATTTAGTAAAGTAAGGGTTGAGTTGTCCTAAAAATTTAGCTGTGCGAGATTATTTATTTAAGGTGCTTGTTCTTTTTTAGTGATAGCTTGCAAGCCTGTATTTCCTACTTACTTGAATCCACTTCTACCTACTGATCAAGTATTTGATTTTGAGGAACTAGAATACCATTACCAAGTAGCAAATCGAACTGAAGATTTACCAGATACAAAGAAAGGTACATGTTCTCCTGAAATATCTAATAATGAATTTATAGGCTACATGCAAATGTGGCTATAGCAAAACATAAATTAAATTCATTAAGTTTTCTTTTACTTATATCAATAATGTTTAATTGAAAACATAGGTGAGCACAGTTATTGATCTACCTCTTATTTTATGTAATATTTGCAGAAGATGGAGAAAATGAAGAAGAAGCTGAATCTGAAAATAAAAATGACAGTGCTAATACATCTCAAAATAGTATCCAACAATCTCAAAACAGTAGTAATATTGACAATCCGTACTTACAGGCTGCACAAAATACCCAAAACAAAAGAATGAAGGAATGTAAAATTGATATTTTTTACACTATGTATATATGTTAATATATATTTATAAGAGATTTCATATTTTTTATATGATTCTTTATTTCAGTTTTAACTTTTTATATTTGAGAAACAAATTGATAAGTCTCTAGAATGTGCAATCAAGCAGTAATAGCTGTGTGTGTCAGTTTTCTATCACTACCAAAAAACCAAGGTAAGATCAGAAATGACATTTTGTAAAACGTTTTCATGCATGAGAAACGATTTCTAAAAGTACAATAAATTTTGCTTTGCGCAAATCAATAAAACAACTAGAATCATGCTCTATCATCAAAGCATATCATGTACTTTTCTGATTATTAACATAAAATGCTATTTTTGAATCAATAATTTTATTAAAATTATATCATACTATATCTTGCAAATTCTTTCTATTTTACAATATTTTACAAGTTGCTGATAACACAGCATAATGATTTCTCACAGAGATCAATAGACACATCTGATTTGTATACACTAAATGAATTAGTAGATGCTCCTTCTTAATTTCTTTTATTTTCTCATTTAAAGTGTATTTTGTTAAGTTGTTGATTTTACTTTTCTCAATTGTCTACTATTGCTTGGTTGAAGATACTACCTAGATTCTGTTACAGAAAAAATGTAAGGTCTTAATAAGTTTTCATACCAAACATTTATTTTTTAAAAAAAAAGGGTTTCGATAATGCAGGAGTGATTATTCTAATAAGCTGTTCTAAAATCATACCTGCTAATTCATATTGTACATTTTTCTTCTGAGATTTTTTTTTAATATCAGGATCA